TAGTTTATGGACATTATTATTTATAATTTATAACAGTTTACCTAAATTTACCTACAATAGTTTAATAAGTACCTAAGTATTCATTATTTTATCAAGAAAAATAAAGCAGTATCTGCTGGCGGAACGAACGGATATGTTACTAGTGATATTATTTTGTGAGGAAAATTGCTTCTAGGCCTCAAGGGCTTATGCTCAAAGATATCCAAATAGGAATCTTCCTGATAAGCGTTTTTTTGAAAAACTACTTGGTCCTATTTCTCAGAGCCGGTAGTGTGGTTTATAAAAAACCTATTAGGCAGAAACCTTTCGTTGGAAGTGAATAAAATGAATTTGCCGTAATTGGCTATTTTATAGAAAATCCATATATCTACAAGTCATCGTAAAATAATTCAAAGAACTACTTCTTCATTTTTCTTGATAGAATAATATACACATATTTAATAAATATTATTTATTAAACTATTGTAGGTAAATTAAATAAAAGTAAACTGGTATAAATTTAAATAAGTCCATAATCTAATTTCGATTTTGAAAATAGCTACTAACTATCACTAGAGACTTGCTATGACAACACTAGCCATCTTGATTACAATTTTATTGAAAAATCGCTTTTTATTCAAAATTTGAGCCAGATAGATATAGGACACCCTAATATAGTTTGAAAGAGCATTTAAATCTGCTTCGACTTATTTAAAAAAATACATAGTGTTGCATTTGAAATAACGAAGTTTTTATGTAAAATAAATATTTAAAATAGACCAGCAATTTTTGATACCCCTGTATACATCTAAGGAAGGAATAACAATTTTCTGTAAATTTTCTTTCTCTACCTTCAAACTCAGCACAAGAACTAATTCTGAAAAGTAATGTACAGGGTGTTAATAATCTATTCTATTGTAGCATGCAAATTTAAATATATTTAAATATCTCAAAAACCAAAGATTTTAAACATATTTAACCCTGATAATAAATACCTTTTTTGGGGCCCAAGAATCCAAAAATGAAATAAAATACCGGGTGTCCCATAAGAAAAAATATAACTTTGGTATGGATCTTAGTTCTGAAACACCCTGTACATTTCAAAATAATTTTATACCATATTATACGACATATACCCATAAAATATTTTGTTTCTACATATTTCCGTTTTCGTATAATCAGACGAGGCGAATGAGGTGCGCCACCCTGTATATAACGTTAATTCGCAAACTTAGTTTTTTATAAACTTTAGTATTTGGCATATTATACAGGGTTATTCGAGGGGTTGTTTTTCCCTTAACTTTAAAACACCCTGTGCAATAATTTCGTCTAAATTTTTCTAAAATATAATTTTACGGTCAGAACCATGAGTGCTGGGCAAAGTGGCGTATCCAAGGAGGGGCAAAGGGGGCAATTGCCCCCTCCAGACACGACGCGCGCCGGTCTTATTTATATTTTAAACAATAATTTAAATGCCAGCTTCGCAGATATTTTTACAGAAGCAAACAGAAACATGAACGAATTGTTTGGACAGGAAATAAAAAAAAACGAATAACTAGTAGACAAAAAAACAGGCCGAATTTTAAAACTGAAACTGCTCAAGATTATTACAGATTATCAATCTTTATTCCTTTTTTAGATTACGTAGTATTCCATTTGGAAGAACGATTTTTTAAATACAAAGACATACTACGGTCATTTAGCTCTCTTATATTCACTCCCTAAATAAAAAATCCGATTATGAAGTATCGCATCTAAAATATATGCTATAGATTTTTATAAAAACGACTTAGAAAACTCTTCATTTTCTGTAGTTTCGGCTGAATTTAAGCTCTAGCATAGAATATTTGAAGACTATGCACCAGAAGACTACCCAAGTTCCGCACTCGATGCCCTGTTAATATTTGACTAAGAACTACTTCCTAACATATTTATTTTATTAAAAAAAAATGCACTTTACCCGTTAGTACGGCAACACCTGAAAGGAAATTTTCAACCCTAAAATTGTTAAAGTCCTATAACACCGTAAGTAAAGACAGACTAAATGGCTTATCCCTTTTGTATATGTATCCAGAAATATCTGTTAGTACAGAGGAGGTACTTAATGAAATGCAGGCAAAAAAGCCTGGATATTGTTATTTAATTTTATTTGTATCTGTGCTTTTACTTTATTCACTTGGCCTTTTGTTTGTTTCTTCTTATTTTGTTATTTGTTTCTTTAATTTTTAGTTAATTTTTGTGTTAATGATTATTTTTTTTGTGATGTAATGTTACTTAGTAGTCTTGAGCCAGTATTACTTGATCATCAGCGAAACAAAGAGTGTAAAGTATCGAGTCGTTTAGTGGTATCCCCATCTGTTCGCACTTCCTTTTCCACGTTTTCAGAGCTTGTTCCAAATAGATTTTATACAGTGTCGGCGATAGACAGCAGCCCGTTTAAGACCTTTGTTTATGCTGAATCCCTTTGATACTGTTTGTCCTTTCTTTACTTGGCTAGTGTTGTTCTTATAAAGTTCTTGGACAGCCTTAATTAATGTTATGCTGATATTCGTTTTCTCGAGGGCTTCCCACAATTTAGACTGGGGTACATTTATGCTTTTTCTTGAGGTCTACATAGAGGAGATGTATTTCTTGATTTCTTACCATCTTTTTCTCAATTATCTGTGTCAGTGTAAATAAATGGTCGACCGTGGATCTACCAGCTCTAAACCCCGCTTGTTCTTCAGCCTCCATATCCCGGTATTCTTCCTCAATTCTCTTTTTGACCAATTTTCCATAGACCCATGAAACAGAGCTCAGCACGGAGATTCCTCGATAATTATCGCAATCGTCTTTACTTCCTTTCTTGTGTATTGTTGTTATATATGATGTCTTCCATTCGTTCGGTATATTTTCACCATTAAGGCACTTTTGGAAAAAACTAGCGAGCTGCTTATATAATTTATCCGTGCCGTACTTGAGTAATTCTGGAGGAATTTCACCTGGACTAGGCGATTTTCTATTTTTCAAGGTTTGTCAAATTTGTTTTACTTCTTCGATATTGATTTCGGTCAACAGTTTAGCAAAGTATAGAAAAATTATTAAACCATTTTCCTAAGAAAAATATTTGTTATTTATTTATACCTACTATTTATCACAGTACCTAGCTGTAATTAGGTAGGTACTTACTTGTTAATGTAAAAAAATATATATTTAGGTATAATACTGAGTTATTGACCCCCCCAAGCATGAATCCTGGATACGCCACTGGCTGGGCATTTTGTTTTTTGATTCATGTCAATACATGCTTTGGTTAATTTTTAAGAGCGAAATTAACTGATCACGATCAATTTGCAATTTTTTTAATTATCATTACTTTTTGATGTAATTTTTTAATATGACGAGATGGCGTTGGTGACTATTGTTGTATCGTCATAATACACTGCATTGGATAATCTATACCTACTAAATTAAAAAAAAAGTTAAAGACTAACGATACAACCCGGGTTTTAATAAACATTAATAACGATAACAGAACTAACGATATTAAAGAAAACATCGGTAATACTCAAGTGTAAAACTTGGAAAATAAGTTCATCATAATAATGCTTTTATTTATTCACTATTCTAATAAACAATATGCATTCCTTCGAAAACTCTCTATTTAATTATTTGGTAATGCTAAAACACTCTATTTGAAAGTCGATTAGAGAATACAGTATGATTCATTGGCAAGCGATGTAAATATTTGTGATCAGGTAAAATTGTGATGTAAGAGGAGGCTTAGCTCAGAGGCGGCAGGTCAGTCAGTTGTTTATAGGCCGGCCGGCTGTGTAGTGTTGTGTTTTGTCAGAGCTGACAAATGGAGGTTGCGAGTCTTTTGACTAATATAGTTGCAAGTCGTTTGACTGTAAGCCAACGGGGTCGTTTGACCACGGTAAGAAAACCTCTGTTACGTCTTGCCTTCGAGCTGGTCTTGAGAGTTTGAGGTTTCCATAATGTCTTCTCGATTGACGATGCGGCGTTGGGATGGTGAGCCACCCAAATAGCTTATTCGATTGGGATGCGAATCTGTTTAGCGGCAGAATTGCGTCCGGGGGAAGCCCCTATACTATTTCAGGTGGCACTAGCTAGTTGTTGAAGATTATTAACCAATAGATCCGAATAATATTTGAATTAGATGGAAGATATGGAATGGGATATATTGAATAGAATGTCAGTGATGTCAGTGGCTAGGGGGCGGAGTACCCCCGGGTGAGTCTTACTATTTAACTATCAATTTTATCCAGATCAGTAAATGTTTGTTTTGTTATTTTCATGTACAATGAGAGAGTGCTTGCCAATGACCAACTAAATGGATATTTGAGGTGAATTTGCATTGTGAGACCCAGTTGAGTAAGCCTCAAAAATACCGATTTTACACAAGTATACAAACAGAAAAAAAAATACCCTAATACTTTGTATTGCCTCCCTTGGCTGCTATAACTGCCTGTATTATGTCTGTCATACTGTCATACTAAGGACCAAGGAAGGTACCTTTTCGTGACCTCTAACCCTCTTGCCGCATTTTCCAAACGTCGAACATGATGGGCTTCATAGTAATAATATAACTTCATAGTAATATATAGTTCACAATAATCACCAAAGCCGCCTTGTCATATTGAAAAATAACTTCAAAAATAAACGATAATTGAAAAAATTGCAAATTGTTGGTGGCACGTTCATTTCGCTCTTAAAAATTAACCAAGGCATGTATTGACATGATCCAAAAAATAAAATGCTCAGGAGACATGGTTCTGACCATAAAATAATATTTTAGGAAAATTTACAAAGATTACAGAAACATATTTTTGTAATCTAAGAAACATATATTTTTTTAGAGTAGCCTCACCTCTGAGAAAGAGATTTAATCCAAATTTAGTTTGTAGAAACCAGTAGAGGAGATGTTGTTTTTCTCTACCAAAATATTTAAAAATATAATGTTTTTTAAAAGCGGCTAAAATCCTGTTATAAAAAGTAAAAAACTCTGTATATTTACTTACAGCAAATATGTATGCGTCTGTAACAAAATTCCCTAAGCTGCATTCGCTAAAATAACAACCAGTTTTAGACAGAGTCACGTGAGTTGAGCCCAGTACTACAGATCCTTGACTGTCAACTAGTTCTTTCCATGGTGCTAGTTCTTTGGTTATATTCTCATCTACAATACAAAAAAATCCTAGAAAAGGACACCAATGAATTTCTGGACAAGAAACTTGCGGCGATATTTTTTTTTAATTTAATTTCTCTCGCAAAATACTTCTCATATAGTTTGCTTGCTATTATTTTCCGTCAATATCTTTATACCTTGTGGAATATCGTTGCTTAGGTAGATTGGAGACCCTTCATAGTTCACTACTTCACCATTATCGTCGTAAAACACTGTTATATTTCCAAGGTATTTCGTGTAAGCAAATGCCTGCACTATAAGAACGTCCTTGTTATTTTTACTCTTGATTATAGTAGGGTATGGTCCTTCGGGAGCGTCAGGACCTTGAGGATCATCTAAAATAATAATGAGTCTATTTTAGATTTTAGGTGTTTTCAGATTAATTTCAAAAATTGTTTTATTCCTGGTAGATCTAGCCAAAAGAAACAACTTTAAAAAACCTTTTTAAAGTTGTTCTTAACTTTTAAAATATTAAAAAATAATGTCTTTTCCATAGCAACTGTTAAAATTGCCTTATATCTATCAAAAATCTATACTAATATATAAAATCCTTAAGTGACTGACATACTGATTAATCACGATCCTGTCCAAACCACTCAACGTCAGAAGCTCAATTTTGGCATACAGGTTGATTCTAGGGTGTAGAGGTTCGATAAGAAGGGATTTTTCGAAATTCCAGTTCCAAGAGGGTGAAACCACCCCTCAAATATTACAATATTTTTTTATTTAAATAACGGTCAAGTTTCCGAAAAAACGCTTAAAATGCATATTTTATTTTGTTTTTTTACATATTTTAAGATTTTTTAAAAATGTATACAGGGTGCTTCGAAAAATCTGGTCATTGATTAACCACGATCCTGCTTAAAGCGCTTGACGTAAAAAGCTGATTTTTGGAAAACAGATTGACTTTAGGGTGTAGAGGTTCGATAAGAAGGGATTTTTCGAAACTCGAATTCTAAGGGGGTGAAACTATCCCTCAAATATTAAAATATTCTTTATTTAAAAACCGGTGAGTTTTTCGGAAAAACTCTTAAACACTTATATTTTATTTTGTTGTTTTACATATTTTAAGATTTTTTATAAATTTATACAGGGTGTTTTATAAAATATGACCATTGAGTAATCACGATTCTGCTTAAACTGCTTGACGTTTAAAGCTGATTTTTGGCAAACGGATTGACTGTGGGGTGTAGAGGTTCGATAAGGAGGGTTTTCTCGAATCTTAAATTCCAAGAGGGTGAAAACGCCCCTCAAATATTACAATATTTGTTATTTAAAAAACGGTTAGTCTTTCGGGAAAACGCTTGGACAAGCATAATTTATTTGTTTTTTTACATATTTTGAATTTTTTTAGAAAATCATATAGGGTGTTCCAAAAAGTTGGGTAATTTCTTAATTTCTAAACTGCTTGACGTAAAAAGCTTATTTTTGGCAAACAGATTTTTCGAAAGTCAAATTCCAACGAGATGAAACTACCCCCCAAATATTGCCAAGTTATATAATAATATCGCCATATTGCTTTTTTTCATGCTAACATAAATGTGAGAAAATTTTGTACTAATCTCTTCGGTCGACGATAAAATACCATTTTATCGTCTTGTATAAAAAATAACTATTACATCACTGTGTTATTTTTAGCCGACCATACCAATAGGTATGGTCGGCTATTAAGATCGGAAAAAAAAGTTTTTTTAATTTCACTCAAAATGAGTTATTTGGGTCATAAATGACCTAAATACAAAATATTTTCATGGTGTCCGTCTGTCCGTCTGTCCGTCTGTCCGTCTGTCCGTCTGTCCGTCTGTCCGTCTGTCCGTCTGTCCGTCTGTCCGTCTGTCCGTCTGTCCGTCTGTCCGTCTGTCCGTCTGTCCGTCTGTCCGTCTGTCTGTCTGTCTATCTGTCTGTAACACGACAACTCAAAAACCGCTGAACCGATTTTAACCAAATTTGGCACAAAAATACTGTGGCACCCGAGAATCTGGCCATTAGTTTTTGGTGGGGTAAGGGGTTTGTAAGGGGTATGGGAGGGGGTTAAAAATTTAAAAAAACCGTAACTCCAAAATTACAGTAGCTAGCAAAACGCGGTTTTCAATTTAAGATTAAGAATAATATTTGCAACAAAATTTGTAATAACATCAAAATCACTCAAAGTCGCAGTTTTTGAGATAAAGAAAATTTGGAAAAATTCCTTTACTTTGAAACTAAAAGAACTGCCTACCAACTTTTTATTAACATATTTTAGTAGGGGCGCCTATACGTGCCTTCCGGCGCCAATTTTTTTTTTCATGAATTTCCCATACACTCTATATTCTACTCTTAATAAAGCAATACACCATTTTTACCTCCAGAATATAGAAAAGTGTGAGAATGTCCTCCTACAATGAGTCCAATTTTTTCACTGGCATTTGCTGCTATCTCCTTGTCAATATCGTACCCCACGTGTGATAGAACGATATTTGTGAACACCCCTTCTTCTCTAACTAGTCTTTCTGCTTCTTCATTAACAGTAGAAGATTCAGGAAGAAACTTCAATTTCCCAGTCGTAGATATTTCCTAAAATATAAAGAAAAGACGTTTTTGGATCGTTGGTTTTTTTTTGAAAATTGTTTCTTTTTCTGACTGTACAGAGTGTCCCATTGTTATGTGTTTTGTGGGGTTCCTCGTTTATGAGTAGAGATACAAAATTACAGTTTTCATATCACTGTGCTACTATATTTTATGAAATAAATGCCATACTTTCACAGATTTTTCCCAGTTTTCTAAAAAAGCTCATAACAAAGCAAATGAAATAAAAACATAATATACAGGGTATCTCGTTTAAAAAACATTACTTTGGGTCATATTTCAAAACTGACAGCTTATAGCAAAAATGTAGTTGCGCCACTGAATTCCTCATGAAAAACGCTATGGGACATAGATAAATTCACCTATTCGATAAGTTATATTTACATAACATAATTGAGATACGAAGGGGGTCGAAAAATACAACATTTTAAATTTTACCCTCTATTTCAGGAACTAAGAGGGCTAAGACAAATCTGAGTGTAGCAACTTTAGTTTTATAAAATAGTAGCTCATCTTTTTACCTCTACTCATAAAAGAGAAACCCTGCAAAACGCACGAAAATGGGACACCCTGTACAGTCTCAGTACATACATTCGTTTTAGAGTATATCACACCGATGATTCCTATCTTTTTTCCATTCCTTTCAACGACGGTACTCTTGGTGTAAGTACCCTGTATGCTCGGTTCCAGGCTGTCATCTATATTAGTACATACCACAGGGGCTTTCGAGTGTGTAATAAACGGTACAACTCCATCTAGACCATTATCAAACTCATGATTGCCTAAAACCTAAGATATTTTTGATTATACAGGGTGTTCCTTAATGACATGCTAATTTTTAAGGAGGTGATTCTTGGACCTATTCTAAGAAAAAAACTTCATGTGAATATACCGGGTGTTGCATCGTCGGACGGGACATAGGGTATCCCCTGTAAATTTTAATGGGGTCAATTATTGGCTTCCCTAATTATTTTAGAGAATAATTATATTTATTGAAGAGCACTAAAGCTCACATTCAAAAGAATAACTTTAGATATTTTTGATTGTACAGTTTACGAGTTAATGACGATTTCTTTTAAATATTTCTCCTTTCTTGGCCCCTATTTTACTTATGAGCACCAGTCAAGGTAAAAGATAACTGTCAAATGAAGTTGTCATTTCAGAAATTTACCTATTTAGTGCTTTATTATTATTGAAAACTCATTACTACATCGGAAATCTTAAAGATGTATTTATAAATTCTATTTATTGAAGAGCACTAAAGCTCACATTCAAAAGAATAACTTTAGATATTTTTGATTAGCTCGTTTACGAGTTATCGCCGATTTCTTTTTAAATATTTCTCCTTTCTTATGGCCCTGCATTTACTTATGAGCACCAGTCAAGGTAAAGGATAACTGTCAAATGAAGATGTCATTTCAGAAATTTACCTATTTAGTGCTTTATTATTATTGAAAACTCATTCCTACATCGGAAATCTTAAAGATGTATTTATAAATACAAATTAATATGAATTAAAGTAAAATAAAGTAATCAATTACAAGGTTAATTATAGTATTACTACAATATTCAATAACATATTAATTTAGGTACAATTAAATTGTTAGAACTTTAGGATTTAAGAAGATGTTCAAATATTCCTCCATAAACTGCTAGGCAATAACCCAGGCGATCATAAAATTCTCTTCTTACATTCGCTAGTTGGTAAACTGAAATTCTATTGCATTCGGCAGAAATAGCATTTTTTAACTCGTCTAGATTTGGGTATTTTTTATCCTTGTATTTCCTGTTTTTTAAATGGCCCCAGAGAAAGAAATCATTTGGCGAAATATCAGGAGCTGGCCAATTTACTGTATGATTTAGGCCAATAACATTTCCGTTAAAACAGCCAGGGTACTATGTGCCGGGCAGCCATCCATTTGGTACCAAACGTCCTGATTTTCCCTAGCGGCATCATGTAAAGCAGGTAAAATATGATTTTCGAGTAAGTTCCAAATAATATTTTGCATTTAAATTTCGCGTAAGAAATAATGGCCCGATAATATTGTGTCCGAATATTCCTGCCCAAAAATTTACTTTCTGTGGATATTGCGTCCTTGTTTCGACAAACCTGTGTTGGTTTTCTTTGTTCCAATATCGATAATTTTGAACATTGGGTTCGTTATTTAAAGTAAACTTGCATTCGACAGTGAAACATATGTTTTTTAAAAATTCCCTATCCGTGTTTGCTCTTTCCATCATATCAAAACAAAACGCCTGCCGCTGTATTTCGTCTCCATCTCGTAGCTCTTGGTGCTTTTCATATTTGAAGGAATAGTATTTATGTCGTTTAAAAATTCGAAACGCTGTAGTGTGGTCTATTCCTATTTCACCCTCAAGTTTCCTTGTGCTGATCTTTCCATCGTTCTCTTCCACGCACAATAAAACTTCCAAGTCGGCATCATTTCTTACATCTTCTCTTTGTTCCTGCCTTGCTTCACATCTGCAGTTATTTATTAGGGTACATTTGGTCTCAAATCTCTGGATATTCCTTGCGATTGTAGATTTTCCAGGTATCGGTCTATTCGGATACAGAGCAGCAAACATGTCTGACACCTTTTGATAACTATTTCCTAAACATAGTAAAATTTTCTAATTTTTTTTTTCAAAATATCTCTGATGGTATATTTGACCATCTCTGATGGTATATTTGACCGTCTTCCATGTATCAAAATGTTTATTTTGATATACAAAAAAAATTGTTTTGTTTCCTAATTTCCTTCTGGCCGATGCAGAAATGATTTCCACAAAACAGCCACCGCATCATAATACATATCTTTAGCGATTTGACCCTAAAGTAAACTGACTTTAATTTTTTTAAGCAATAACTATACGTCGGGCGAAAAAAATCAAGAGATAAAAAATGTTTCGAAATGAATGGAGATTTTGAAAATAATTTTTATTTTAAGAGAAGTCAGTGGACGGCACTGGTTAAAATAAACAAAATTCTTTGAACACCAAAAAATATATTTTGATGCATAGAATACGTGTATCAAGATTCATAAAGATATATACAGGGTAATTCAGATTTTACTAGAATAACTTTAGGGCCCGAATTCTGTAACTTTGACATAAAAACGTTACGCGTTCAAAGCGGTGAGCGCAAGTATTCGATCAGCGAAACGCAAAGCAGTCGATTTTGGTATTCTCGTTGCCATGCGTATGGTGTTCTGGATACGCGTTGAGCACATATTGGCAACATCACCATTTCTAATGTAGGTAATAGTCAAAAATTGATAACTGACGGATGTAACAATGAAAAATGTCAATGTTACGTGAATTTCATAACCTATTGTTGAGTTATGTGAAGCTATTTTTCTATGGATATGTCATTATTCTTATTATATGAGGGAAGTGTTGAAGACGCTTCTCAGCATTTTCGATGTTTTGAACAATATTTATAGCTGCCAAGTCGTAAATTATTATCAATTACTTATTGAGGAATTTATAGAAGAAGTAGTCATTTTCACTAAAGAGCAAGATAACGCACAAAATCACAATTTTTTCGATTTTCACTCACAGTTCGACAAGCAAAACGATCCTTTAAGGCAACCGTTTTCAAAGCGCTCAGCGCAATCAGTAAAGACGCTAAGCGCGTCAGACGAGAATACGGAAATCGTTAAGACCGTGCGCGCTCAACATGCGCTCAACGAAAATTAACGTCATATACGCTGAGCGTCTAAAAGCGCTTACCGTTTTCAAAGTTACAGAATACGGGCCCAGGGTATCGATAGAACTACGCTTCCGCTTGGAGTAAAATGGCGCTAAAATTTGAATTACTTTTCATATGGCATACTGCTAATTAAGTAACATTTTTCGAACGCAGCTGAGCTATGTCCGGAATTTTTTGGAATATCTCGAAAACTAAGCGACATATCAAAAAAATTTAAGAACGAGAAAAGTTAGTAAAAGGACGGAAGGTATCAGAAAAAATACAAATTTATCCAGTGGCGTGCGACAAAAAAGTTCGACAAAGTTCCGTGCAGTTGACACTCACAAAAACAACACCCTGTATAGCAATTAATCCAATTTTTTTCACACGTATCAGCCACGTTGTCCTTAGTATTTAACCAAACACTTGCGTATTTAGATCTTCTGGCTTACAAGTAATAAAATAAAACCTGAAAAATAATTCAAATTTTAGGGTCATTTTACTCCAAGCGGAAGCGTTTTTGGAGTATGGTTTATAATACAAACTATCATTATTTCGGTTAGTTCTATCGAGAGAGATACCTGCAGTTATTCTAGTAAAATCTGAATCACCCTGTATAATAAAATTAGCGTTATTATGAACAGAGGTTTTTTGTTAGAAAATAATAATAATTGATCACACTGTATATTAGTAATACGTACGATGGCATCAAAAGGTAACTTATTGAGAAACTGCTGCGTTATGTTCCATTTTCCTAGACTGTAGTACAGGGTACCTTGAAAATTGTCACCTCCATTTAGAAGGATACTATCTGGTTTGGCAGCTAAGATTTCTTGGATTTGTGTTGTCAATCGAGCAAACCCTCCAACACATGTTGGAGTGTCATAGCATACACCGGACACACTACCAATTTGTTCGTATCTAGAACAATATATCCATACAAGTAATAAAAAAATTAAATTCAAAAATACGCAATGGAAAATTAAACGTCAACATTCATAAAAAATATAGTCCAGAATTTATTTTAATACATAAAATTATAGGGTACTTCACATTTACGCTGATTGGATAAAAAGAATTTTTCCAATATTATTAATAGTCTAAGAAAATAGGCCTTCAAATACGAAGTTTTGATATAAGTTACTTTGAAAGACCAGAAAACGAATAGTGAAAGATTTTTTTAACCTAACCCCCGAGAAGGAGTGAAATAAATAGAAAGGACCAGGGGAAAAAAATTGGCGCCGGGAGGCACGTATAGCCGCCCATACTAAAATAATATATTAATATCTCAAAAACTGCGACTTTGACTGATTTTGATGTTATTACAAATTTTGTTGCAAATATTATTCCTAATCTTAATTTGAAAACCGCGTTTCGCTAGCTACTGTAATTTTGGAGTTACGATTTTTTAAATTTTTAACCCCCGCCCATACCCCCTTACCAACTCCCCACCCCCACCAAAAACTAATGGCGAGATTCTCGGGTGCCACAGTATTTTTGTGCCAAATTTGGTTAAAATCGGTTAGCGGTTTTTGAGTTATCGTGTTACAGACGGCAGACAGACAGACAGACAGACAGACAGACAGACAGACAGACAGACAGACAGACAGACAGACAGACAGACAGACAGACGGACGGACGACGGACAGACAGACAGACAGACGGACACAGACAGACGGACGGACGGACAGACAGACACGGACGGACAGACAGACAGACGGACAGACAGACAGACAGACAGACAGACAGACAGACAGACAGACAGACAGACGGAGACAGACAGACAGACAGACAGACAGACAGACAGACAGACAGACAGACAGACAGACAGACGGACAGACAGACAGACAGACAGACAGACAGACAGACAGACAGACAGACAGACAGACAGACAGACAGACAGACAGACAGACAGACAGACAGACAGACAGACAGACAGACAGACACAGACAGACAGAACAGACAGACAGACACGACAGACAGACAGACAGACAGACAGACAGACAGACAGACAGACAGACAGACAGACAGACAGACAGACAGACAGACAGACAGACGAACAGACAGACAGACAGACGAACAGACAGACAGACAGACAGACAGACAGACAGACAGACAGACGACAGACAGACAGACAGACAGACAGACAGACAGACAGACAGACAGACAGACAGAACAGACAGACAGACAGACAGACAGACAGACAGACAGACAGACAGACAGACAGACAGACAGACAGACAGACAGACAGACAGACGAACAGACAGACAGACAGACAGACAGACAGACAGACAGACAGACAGACAGACAGACAGACAGACAGACACGAACAGACAGACAGACAGACAGACAGACAGACAGACAGACAGACAGAACAGACAGAACAGACAGACAGACAGACAGACAGACAGACACAGACAGACAGACAGACAGACAGACAGACAGACAGACAGACAGACAGACAGACAGACAGACAGACAGAACAGACAGACAGACAGACAGACAGACAGACAGACAGACAGACAGACAGACAGACAGACAGACAGACAGACAGACAGACAGACAGACAGACAGACAGACAGACAGACAGACAGACAGACAGACAGACAGACAGACAGACAGACAGACAGACAGACAGACAGACAGACAGACAGACAGACAGACAGACAGACAGACAGACAGACAGACAGACAGACAGACAGACAGACAGACAGACAGACAGACAGACAGACAGACAGACAGACAGACAAGACAGACAGACAGACAGACAGACAGACAGACAGACAGACAGACAGACAGACACCATGAAAATATTTTGTATTTAGGTCATTTATGACCCAAATAACTCATTTTGAGTGAAATTAAAAAAACCTTTTTTTGCCGATCTTAATAGCCTACCATACCTATTGGTATGGTCAGGGCCGGCGGAAGGGCCGGGCGCCCCGAGCAGCCGCCCGGCTCGCCGTATACGACGGGCGCCACGATGGCAACTAAAATATTTAAAAACGGTAATCTAATCAAAGAGTAACGAATGACCAGATCAATAATTAATCGGTACTATCAGTTTCCACATTAAAATATTACCAATTACCATACCACATAGGAAAGAATATCTGACTAAACATTATAAACATTACTAGACGTATCCTATTATAGTTTACTGAAATTATGCTCAAAAAATTCGCACGAAAGCTTTGGGATAGTTTTAATTTCTTCCATTCTATATGTTTTTGGGTGCTCTATTCGAAACTGGGATTTGCGAATTCATTTTCGTCGAAAAATCTTAAACAAAATAAAATAAAAAAAATATAAATCTGATTTGTTCGCGGTATTTTACTTATAATTCAAAAGCTATCAAGTTTTTGTAAATTACCTTTCTTTCTATAATTCTTGTTTTTATAAATTTTCTCTAAACAAACTGTTTTGAGTCAAGAGCTAGCAAAATTGACAGTTTTAGACTGACAGCTCAAAATCGCACTTTTTCTACTACCCTTTTATTTGTTATTAATGGCTGATTTACACTAAAATTATATATCGATATCCTTATTATCCAAAAAAAAAGCTTATAAGTTTGTCTCATTAGTTAAATTAATTTATTAACAGTAGTGGGAAAATATATCAATCTTTTGGTGATTTTCATTTTCCCAATTGAAAGTGTATAATAATACACGAAAAATGGTAGCAGAATCGTAGAATTTTCTCATTAGAGCAAGACAAAGGAATGCATCTCAATCACTGGCTGAACCTCATTTTAAAGCCCACAAAACTGTATTTGATCATAAACTGATTGTGCACGAAATAATTGATGAAATAGAAAAGAAAGTTTTCTTAAATTCTTATAGAAAAATAATGCAACTGCTTGAAACTAAATACTAATATTTTCAAAGATTACTTATACCAGAACGATACTTCCGAAGTTGGAATTATATTTCTCATTACTCTATATACCGGGTGCGTCTCAAAAGTGGCTCACCCCTATAACTTGTTTATTTTTCAGAAAAAAAAACAAATTTGGTATGTTAATATACATAAATTAGGATTAATTGACGTATTCAATTGTTTTTGGTCACTTCCTGTTTCACCGGAAATTACTACAACTTTTGATTTTTAAATGGCACCCTCGGTATATTTCTACTTTATGACATATGTTATCTTTTGATATTTTCGATTAAAAATACGATTTTGGCATCTTTTGGACCGGCCAGGACAAGACACGAAAAACATTAGTCGATCAAATCTATTTTCCAAGGCTCCTTGTTTAAAAATTAGTGTTTTTAACAGAACCAAGTGTTTTTAACAGAACCTCTAGATTGAAATTTAAAATATAATGTTTTTTGGACGAAAATGTCAAAATTTGACATATGATATGTCATTCTACTCAGAGTGTCATTTTCTATCAAATAAAGTAGAAATATACCGAGGTGCCATTTAAAAATCAAAAGTTTAAGTCATTTCCGGTGAAACAGGAAGTGGCTAAAAAGAACTGAATAGTCAATCAATCCTAATTTATGTCATATACTAACATACCAAATCTCGTTTTTTATGTAAAAAATTTAAAAAACAACAACCGCAGACTAAGATTGAAAGAAAAGAAGAATTTTGAAGTATCTTTAAGTGAAAATTAATTGTTACAGTAGCATAAAATATGCTTAGTTGTTGTTAAAGGATAGTATTGAAAGAAGAGAAAAAGAGAATTATAATAATATTGGGGGGGGGGGCACCAGATAGGGTACTCGCTCGGTCTCAATATTTGCCTTCCGCCGCCCCTGGGTATGGTCGGCTAATAATGGTTCGCTCGGAAATGGTACCTAAGTAGCTAAACGACCAGTCAGGACTCTAATACGGATAGAGCTAATGGAGCTCTATATTCCCCCATTTAAACTGTGTTTCGAAAATGCATAGTTTCCGAGTACATAAAAAGTACATACAGGATAAGAAAAAAAATATAAAAACGTATTTTTTAATTTCTGACATTTTTTTTTTATAATACAACATAACCTAAAAAGGGGCTCAAATCGCATTTAGAATTCTTACATTACCGTATTCTAACCATACCAGGCGAGAAAAATGGAACAAGTTAATAAATAAAAAATTAGATTTTTTTCAAAGAAAAAATATATAAAAAAATTTAATGCCTTAGCCGGATTAGGATATTATTTCTGTCAAAGAATTCATAAAGATAAGTTAAGATGGATATTTTGGTAAAATGAGATTCTTAATAACCTGTTCTATCCAAAACCTCTTCAACAAGACAGTACATGATAGTGACAGTTCTATCTATCATTTTAATTCATAGTCATTTTTTGAATTTTTGCTGTCAAAATCTTCCCCTACTCATTGGACAGACTATACATCTGGAAATATATATGACACCCATAATATTTTAGTCTTAGTTAGATTTACAAATTTCATCGAAATTAATAATATGATAATATAAACTTACCTTGCATGAAAATCGTTGAAATGAACAACAGATAATTCAAATAAATTTTGACTAGCTGAAATATTTATAAAAAAATACAGAATAATGAAAATTAATTTAAAATGTACCTTGCGCAACATTTTAATATGAAATAATCTATTTATGTTAAATTATAAAACAAAATTATTTGCATATAGACATGGTCTGGTTTTAAACAGGAGAACTTTTATTATAGACATTGTTAAATCATTTAGATAAAATGGTGTGATAAGCTCAATGAATAATTGTTCTTAAGTCTAACAGGTAATAAAAAGAAATTACAGATTATAATTAATTAGGATAATGTGAATTTTAATACCGTATGATCGAAAAAAAATGGCGTCCAGTTGGTTTGGAAATGACGATCGATGACATTCCCCATATAATTTTACATATAAAATGACAGCGATCTTCATTTCATAGCCATAGCTGACGCCGTTTTTTTTTCGATTATATTGTAGTACAATGTATATATGCGATTTAATAAATATTTTGACCAAATGAAACTAACATTGGAATTCATTTAAGATTGATTTATTTAACAATGCTTATATTAAACTTATACAGGGTGGTCCATCGAAAACGGCCAGGGTAATTTTTTTTCAGAAAATTCAAAAACACGTCAATTTTGTTTGTGAGGGGGACAACTTTTGCCCCAAAAATGATTGCAAAATCGTCAACCCTCTAAGCGGGGGTGTCATCCCCAATTTTTTTTCAAATGGGAAGGGGGGTCAAGTGGTACCGCAATGGAAAGGGCTTTCTATTCTTTATACTTTCCGGCTTCGTTTTGAAAATCGGTCGAGTCATTGAGAAAATATGAAGGATTGAAATTTGAAAAGTTTATTTAAACATTTATCAGAGTAAATGATAAGGATAAATTCCTTCGACCAATTTGCTGTTTTTTCTTATTATTTCTAGATGTTTACGCATTTTTTCACTTGCCACAAGGTTGAACGATCAGGTGCGGTAGTTGCTAGATAGCTGTTCTGTGACTTATGCGTTGAAGTTCTTCTCAATATCGTTAAAATTTTTAACAATTATGGTGTACTCACTTGCAGAAAAAGTGGAAATAATCGAACTTTATTTTAAAAATATTGAATGTGGCAATCGGGTTGCGGAGATATTCAATGAACTCCATCCTGACAAACACCATTATGGCAAAATTGTTCGCGAGTTAGTTGCAAAATTTCGCGTATAATATAACTGGTTCCGTTATGAATAAAAAGAGGCAGAGGGAAGATCTTGTAGTAAATGAAGCTATGGAGGTATTCGTATTGGGCCAAGTTGCCATGGATAATACGCTGAGTACAAGAAACTTAGCCAATGAGACCGGCGTGAATCGTACAAGTGTCCAAAGGATATTAAAAAAATACAAGTTCCACCCGTATAAAATTCAGTAGGTACAAGAACTCAACGAAGACGATTTTGATAGAAGCCTGCAATTTTGTAAAACTATGAGTGAACAAGTGGCGAATGATAATAATTTCCTATTTAATGTGTGTTTTTCGGATGAGTCTACTTTCTTTTTGAACGGTGTAGTTAATCGGCACAACTCTCGGTACTGGGCTGAGGACAACCACAGAGTTTTTTACGAGGTGCACACACAAGACGCTCAGAAATTGGACATCTTCAAAAACGAGGCGGGGAAATATAGAGAATAGAAAGCTCTTTTCATTGCGGTGCCACTTGACTCCCCTTCCCATTTGAAAAAAGTTGGGGGATGACACCCCCGCTTAGAGGGTTGAAGATTTCGCAATCATTTTTGGAGCAAAAGTTGTCCCCCTCACAAACAAAATTGACGTGTGTTTGGATTTTTTGAAAAAAAGAATACCTTGGCCGTTATGCCTGTATAACGGTATATCTAATTTTTTGTGGCCACCCTGTATAACGGTATATCTAATTTTTTGTGGAAAATGCAACAGTGACTAGTTGCTAGCTCGTGTGTCAAGGCCGTGTCGTGTCACGGCCTTGAATGTTTACTCCCATTGCGCTTGAAGAAGTTTCACTTCAATAACCTGCAATAACCTGCACTGAAGACCTGAGTATATGGTTTTAAGAGTCTATTACGCTGTACTTTCGGGTCACTCTCAGGGGTCGGGTAAAGCGGGTGTGTGGCCGAAGGAAATATATATTATATTCCAGAAATCTGCCTAACACGACAGGATCGGGCTAAGCCACATCCAGAATTCCAAACACACCTGCTTTAAGGATTGATTAAAGTTTGCAGAGCTTCAGCATTTGCCATAAAATAACGAGCAATTTGTTACAAAACCATATAAATTATATATCACTGTAATCACAAAACTTCAATCTATTCCCGTATCTTAACGTAATTTTAAATTATGTCTTTATTTTCGAGAAAATTTAGTCCAAACATAAGGAATGTTTTGTTGATGTTTGACGATCAAAATCATAAAAATAAAGAAGTTGTCTAAAAATGTGCTACAATACGGATATAGTATAATCCTTTATCTTTAATTTCTTTCTTCATTTGTGTAAAAATACCTAGCCAGTTTTACATAAAACGTTAAATACCGAACGCTTATTTTGCTACTTAATGGACCCTTAATATCAACTCGAACCGCGAACCCTAAAGGCGGCCATTACCAAAAGACAAAAAAAAAATTCTGATAAATTTGATCATTTATTGGCTCAAAAAACACTACAAAATACACTTTATTTAGTCATTGGCCTTAAATAGAATTTCTCCTTCGCTATGGACTGTGATTCTTCCTTCCTCTTCTTGAAACACCGGTGATCTGTGTTCGATGAATTTGACATATATGTCAATGTCCACTTGCCCGATCGCCAAATTCTCGATATTGTCACTCAAGGCAGTGAAACCATCTCCACCTATAATTTATATTTTGTTATTTTTATTTTTATTTTAATATCTTGTCTCTTTAATAATACCGTATGATCGAATAAAAACGGCGTCAGCGATGGCTATGAAATGAAAATCGCTGTCATTTTATATGTAAAATTATATGGGAAATGTCATCGATGTTCATTTGTAGAGTTAAGTTTAAGAAAATCAAGCTTTATACAGGGTGGTCCGAACTGTATTCCGGAAACTTCGGCAGCATATTCTGCAGATAAAAATAAGTAAAAAAGTTCGTATAAATGCATGTCCTAAAATGCTTAGCTTCGGAGATACAGGGTGTAGAAATTTAATTTTTGTTTCGATTTTTTTCAAATAATTTCTGAAGTAACGTCAATATTTGGATGAAAATTTGTGTCTGGGAGTTTATTGACAAGAGAAATTTGGATTTAGATTTCAATATGACTTCTATTTGTAGAGGGCGCCACCTACGTGTGTTTTAATTGTTTTGAAGAGTAATAACTTTTCGACGGTATCTGTATAAAACTACCGAGTGAAAAAATATACTTTTCCATGATTTTTTACGTAAAAAAATGTCGCTTGGTAAAACTCGCTACCAGCAACCGTTCTCAAGATATTTAGAATGGAAATAGTCAATACATGTTATTATTGACAAAAAATAAACACGTTGAGTAGATAGTTATTTGACTGATATAAATTATTTTTACAGTTCGGACCATAATGTACCAAAAATATTTTTCTGTATGTTTTTTTACCTCCAGATATAAATGAATTTACTGCAACGTTGTAAGATTTATCCACGTCCAAGTCTTCATAAATGGGGATTTCACATTGTTGACAGCGAACCTTTACACTTTGTACTCTGTCTCCTAATGGTCTGGAGAGGTTATAAACCACATGCAATCCTAGTAAAATAATGTAGTAATATTAATCAAATATTCTTCTTCTATTATTACAGTTGGAGGTTGAAATCTCTGATATTATAACAGCAAAATAAAACGCTAATTCACCACAATTCACCAAAACATTATCTATTCTTTAAAAAATTGGACTCGCGTTTCGCTAATCATCTTCAGAAATTGATGAACACGCTTCCAGTGTTTAAAAGTAAAGTGTTTTTGGTGTATTGTGGTGAATTAGTGTTTTATTTTGTTTTTTTTGTTCTTCCTATAAATAAAAAATATACAAAATAAAGAAAGATCTACCTGATACTTGTAGGAGTTTTAGATCAGACAAAACCCTTTGAGAGTTATAACCTTGAGTGGTTTGTTCTAGTAACTCTTTAATGTATTTTCCTTTGAGCTGTCCAAAATCTACTGTGTTTCCAAACGGTTGAGCCACTAATACGTCACTATAGGTCATATCTGAAAAAAAATTTGATGTTTATATCAACCAATGTTTATAACTTTGTACCTCTGTTAGAAGTAAATCATTGAAAACAGGGTAGTTTAGATAATTTATTGTGAAAAATTAAATTTTAAATGGAACCGCTAAAGATTCTAAAACCTACCTAAATTTTAACCTAATAAAAATGCTTTAAATAGAAAAAATGTACAATGTTTTTAATTCTCCGTCTAATAAAGAAATGGTAACAAGGTGTTCCATTAAAAAAAAAACAAATTAAAAAAAAATTTTATATTTTAGAAAGTTTGGCATAGAATTTTTAACACCCTGTATGGTTTAAAATTACGGTATTTATAGTAAAGTAAGTTCAAACCAACTATAGTAAATATCTAGTATAGTATTGATTTGAGGACAGGATTTCTTGCATTATTAATATTTTTTTAAAAACAAACTGAGAAAAAAACTTAAAAATGACGCCCTGAGAAGCGCATTCTTCATTACTTTTTATTTGGGTGCCCCCTAAAATAAATTGTTGTATCCGCCCCTGCTAGATTGTTTCATTAAGACTTTTTATTTAATGTGTAAACGGGCATTTTAATAAAGTGGAAGGGTTCTTAGAAATAAAATAGGTACTCACCTCCAATAGCTATATTATCTCGTAGTCCTCCAGCATTTGTCAAACCTATGGCAGCACTAGTCCATGATCCGTTTGGTGTATTGGTTTCGGTGTACTACAACAAAATGGGTTATAAATATGTTGTATCTGCCTCAGCTATTTAATAATAACAGCGTAAACCACTGTAGAAACATTTAGGACAAGAAGAAGACTTTTAGATTACTTACAGCAAAAACATAGGCGTCAGTAACAAAGTTTCCCAAGGTACATTCACTGTAATAGCATCCAGCTTTGGACAAAATGACACTTGTTGAACCCAGAACTACTGTTCCTTGAGCATCAACTAGTTCTTTCCAAGGTGCCAGATCCTCAACGATAGTTTCATCTAAATTGAGGAAGTTATTTTTAGGTTAACATTTTGTTAAAACTGCCGTTTTCAGGAATTTAGTGGGCATATTTTGAAAAAAAAATCATAAACCTCCATAAAGATTGCCTTATGGAGGTACTACAGCGTTGACTGTTTTGGCTTGGTTTGGTTAGCCTTTTATTTGCTATTTGCCAAAAATAATTAAGATACGTCAATTTGACATACGTGCTTCAGTAACGTATCTGATGATAACTACCAACAATTATTGATAACGTAAAATAAAATAACAAATTATTGGGTCTACCCTACATCATATTTTTACACGTTTTGAATAAAATTAGAACGGCACTGATAAACCGGAATTTAAGTCGGCCATCTTTGGTCCCCATCGCTCTCGGGGGTCGGGTAAAGCGGGTGTGTGGCCGAAGAAAATATATATTATTTCAGAAATATGCCTTAGAAAATATGGCTTAGCCCGGTCCTGTCATGTTAAGCCACACCCAAAATTCCAAACACACGTGCTTTGATTAAGGTTTGCAGAGTTTCAGCATTTGCCATAAAATAGCGAGCAATTTGTTACAAAACCATATAACATCATAGCCGACGATATATTTAGAGAACATATTTTAGGCAAGCTAGAATAACTAAAAATGTATAGTTTATTAACTGGTGCACCCAGAATCCTAAGTCTGGTTGGGGGGTTGGGTAAAAATTCTGTTTTACGTTTTTTTGCATGAGTGTATTATTTTCACCCCCAATTATGACTTTTATTATGTTTTTAAATAGATGCTTCAAGTTTTTAACTAAATTAAGTGAATATTTATGTTTTAGGTACTTGAAAGTACTAGACATGTCTAATTTTATCCAAGTGAATTTGAGGAGGCAATACATAATTCCGCTTTTAAGATATTTCCATTAATTTTAATCAAACATCTTCAAGATGAATTTAATTAATATTTTAAGTACCATAATAGATTTTAAACTTTTTCAAAATTATACTCCATGATAAAAAACGGCGTCTAGTTGGCTTGAATGTAACGATCGATAACAATTTCTGTATAATTGTACAGATAAAATGACAGGTTGTCTACTAACTGTCTACCGCAAGGTGTTTTAGGTATTCTATCCATTTTAATTGTATTTTTTAAACATTGTGTTGAGAAATTCCTTATAAACACTATTTTTTTAATAATAAATGTAGGCATATATTTTTTTTATAATTTTTACCTCCAGTGAATAAAAATGTATGAGAATGTCCTCCAACAATAAGACCAATCTTTTCACTGGCATTTGCTGCGATTGCCTGATCAATGTCATATCCTACATGGGACAGAACAATGTTTGTAAACACTCCTTCTTCTTTAACTAGCCTTTCAGCTTCCTCGTTTACACTTGCGGATTCTGGATAAAATTGTAAATTTCCCGTACTAGAAATTTCCTAAAACAATATTTATAATAAATAAATAAAATAGAGTATGTCCAACAAAATTGATCTAATATTGAAAAAAGTTTATCATAACTAAGTAAGTTTATCATAAGTAGTAAAGTTTATCATAAAAATAAAAAAGTTATAGGGGTGAGATACTTTCGAGAAACACCCGGTATAGGGATGTTTCGAAAACATGACATTTTAACATTTATAAAACATAATATTTAATAATTCCAGATTATCTTACGGTAGTTTTTGCATAGAGAACACCAATTATTCCTATCTTCTTTCCGTCTCTTTCTACAATAGTACTTTTTGTGTAAGTACCTTGAATAGTAGGTTCCTTACTGTCGTCAATGTTGGAGCACACCACGGGTGCTTTTAAACTTGTAATGAAAGGTACCACACCAGAGATACCATCATCAAATTCGTGATTACCTAGAACCTTAAAAAATAGGGATAAACTTTTTACCTTTACTAAAAGAATATATATTTTTTAAAAAAAAAATCTTCTGGGTGTTTCGCTACTTATAGAAGAAAATCTACAAAATAAAATAGTTATCTATATACAAGAAGATCGACATGTCACATACAGGGTGAGCCACTGAAAACTTACAATGGCTATAATTTTTAAACCAAAAAAGATAACAAAAAAATAAAAAATACCGTTTCTATAATATCGAGGGGGAATACATATGACATAATTTTTGAACCACCCCGACCTACCCCTAAGGCGGCACCACTACTCACTTGAAAATCTTAAATGGCAACACCCCACTTGTGGCGCTTTTTTGAAAGCCCATGAAAAATGCTAAACGATGATCATAAAGTTTTTAGGGTGAAATTGAAAAACTACCCCTTACACGAAAAATTAGTTGGACATTAATGAGAAAAGTGATTGTTTCAACATAAGTTACAAATTGGGACCCACCTAAATGAGGTTTTTTTCAAACTACCCCGACCCACCCCTAGGTGCCATCCCTTGACTTCTAACCTCAAGATAGCGATACCCCACTTGTGACACCTCTTTGGAAAGCGTATAAAAAATGCTGAACGACTGTCATAAAAAAGAACGAAAAAAGTAGAGCCTAAAAATAAAAAAAATGTCAAAACGTGTCAAAATCAATAGAATGAATTGCCAGAAAAAAAGAAAAAAAAGCTCGTACAAAGAGAAATTTATTATAACTCTTAATGAAGACCTCATACACTTTCAGCAAGATGGAGCCCTTTCGCATTATTCTATTGTCACAAGGCGGTGGTTGGATAAATATTATCCAAGGCAATGGATTGGCAAAAGGGGTCTAATCGAGTGGCCGCCAAGGTCACCTGATTTCACTCCTTTAGACTTTTTCTTATGGGGTTACACTAAATCCATAGTCTACAAGACAAAACCAGGTTCGTTGCAAGAAATGCGGCAGAGGAGAACTGAAGCATGTCGAAATATTCCGAGAGAGACTTTGAGAGGAATTTGAAAATCGTTTGTATTTTTGTATGGAACAAAACGGCTGTTATTTTGAGCAATTCTTAAAATAAATTATCATTTTAAATTTCTTTCAAATTGTCACACCTACATTTCTTGTCACTAACCAGTAATTAAGTTGAAGTCTGTATGACCATCGTTTAGCAATTTCAATTAGCTTTCCAAAGAAGTGTCACAAGTGGGGTATCGCTATTTTGAGATTAGAAGTGAGGGGGTGCCACCTAGGGGTGGGTTGGGGTGGTTTGAAAAGTACTTCATTTGCGTCATTTAGCTGGGTCCCAAGTTGTAACTTATGCTGAAAAAATCACCTTTTTCATTAATATCCACCTAATTGTTCGTATAAGGGTAGTTTTTCCCTAAAAACTTTATGATCATCATTTAGCATTTTTCATGAGCTTTCCAAAAAGACGCCACAAGTGGGATATTGCCATTTAAGATTTTCAAATGAGTAAGGGTGCCTCCTAAGGGGTAGGTCGGGGTGGTTCAAAAAATACGTCATATGTATTCCCCCTCGATATTATAGAAACGGTATTTTTTATTTTTTTGATATCTTTTTTGGTTTAAAAATTATAGCCATTGTAAGTTTTCAGTGGCCCACCCTGTATATCGTAAAATTGAAGCATCATTGGACATTTCAAAGACCGCAATTCAAAAACTTTTACCTACATAAAGAATGATCTGTCAAAAAATTAGATTTCTTGTTGGATAATTACAGTCAAATGGTGTCAAAAACTCATTTAAAGCAGGAAACTCCAGTACAATACGCAGTCTTTTCAGTGGTGATAAATTCTGGATTTACTCTTATGAACCCTTATGACTCCGAGATGAACCAAAACCAACGAAAGTTATCCCTTCTCGAAGTGTTTCCAAAAAAATGGTGGCGATATTTGTCTCAAAAGCGGACCATACACTACAATCTCTCAGCAAGATCATAGGACTGTTACTGCTGATTGGCGCATATTTATTTGTTTGCCGGAAGTAATTGCTGAGTTTCGATAAAAAACAATTCTCAACACCGAATGATCCTCCATAAAGGCAATGCAAGTTCCTACACAGCTCGAAAAACAATTGAGTTTTTAAAACAAGGAAACATCAAATTGTTGGACCATCCTCCACACAGTCCCGACCTAAATCCTAACGACTTTTTTACTATTCCAAAAATTAAAGACGAAAGACTGAGTGGTCAAAGGTTCCAGTCCCTATAGAAGATGCAGTCAAGCGAGTGGAATAACTGCTTTCAGAATTGGTCCCAACGGATGCAAAAATTCATTTCTCTTCTTGGAGAATACTTCGAAGAATAGTTATTTAAGAATTATCTAAAAAAATACCCCAAAGGCGAAATATCCAGAAGACTTTTTTAAAGAAATGAGTCCCCACCACAAAGTAATAGATATTATGTAAATGTTTCTTACGATAGCATCAAACGGTAATTTGTTCAGAAACTCTTGAGTTATGTTCCATTTGCCCAAGGTGTAATACAGGGTGCCTTGAAAGTTATCGCCGCCATTCAGTAAGAGGGACTTGGGTTGCGTATCTAATAGTTCCTGGATTTGAGTGACCAGTCTTGGAAATCCACCGATGCAAGATGTGTCTTTGCACGTTCCAGATGCACTACTTATCTCTTCAAATCTATAAGAATTTTTTTTTACATTTTTTGAAAGCTGATTTAAGACTTAAAATTTAATGTTTTCAAATTTTAACTTTCAAAATAATTTGTGTTTTAAATATCGATAAAAGATTTAAGTCTTTTCGAAAAATGCCCGGTATAGTTGTAAAACCTGACAAAGAAATATTAAAAATATAATTTTTTCCATAGCAACTGTTAAAATTGCCTTATATCTATCAAAAATAGTAGATAAAATAGTACTTTAACCGCAAGAGTAGATTAAATGATTATTTCTTCTCGCACGTTTTTTAATTGCTTCCATTTTGAAAATTTTTGTATTTTTTCATAAGTTATTCGGGATTTAAATGGAAGTAGTTTGGATATGGCGTTTGTCGCCTCAGCCTAAATATCTGTTGGTAATTTACTTATTTCGTTTTGAGCCATTTCTGGCTCCAATTCAATCAGCAATCGACACGAAAGAGAACTAAAAAAAAATTGACTCAAAACTGACAACTAAAAAGACAACTTTATTTATTTGTCAAATCACATAGAAACCAACGAAAAACCAGTACAATATTTTTTCAACTCGTAATAAATTCCTTGAAATAATAATTTCTGAATATTTTTTAAAACGTAATTCTCTATGGAAAAAAGAAATATTGTTTATCCACGACGATAAAATTGCATTATCGTCTCCCGAAATTAATTACCATTTTATCGTCTTGTATAAAAAATAACTATTCCTTAACCTTACCTCGCATGGAAATCATTAAGGTGCACTACAGAAAGTTCAAATAAATCTGCTTTTAAAGTATTACCAAGACAACCCAAACTCAGCAAAAATAACGTTGTTACTTTGAGGAACCACATCTTTTCCAAAGTAACGTTTGACACCTTCAGACAAGTGAAATAAACTGATTTTTAGCATTTTAATATCTATTTAAATAATCTACTTATCAATGAATTAACAGGTCTTTATTTTTATATCGGATCGAACGATTTGATATAAAATTAAAATTTTATTATCGCTAAATTTTTATTGCTAGAAGTGGGTTTGTTATCGGCGATTATTGTGCTTAGAAGACGGTGATTAGAGATAAGTTGAATAACATGTTTCATTCACCGAATTTGCTGTAATATTTATTATACGTCTAGTTGTAAGTGTTCCAAAGTAACAATAGGAAAAAATATATCTAAAGGTCACCACAGACGTACTTTATTGTCGCTCAGATAAACAGTAAAGTCCAAAGTATTTCATGTTCTTGAGTTCCACTTTAAGTTGGTTTCTACTTGGGAAGCAGAACGGTTCTGGTTCAGTTACTGGAGTGTTCGCTCCTTTTCTAGCTAGATTGTTTGTTTTTTCATTGTTTGTATCCCTTTGTGGGCTAAATTTTGTTACATAAAAATCTAGAATGTCAATATTCCATAGGTATATTAATAAATGAGGTCTAAATTATAAGGAAATTCATTTTCTACGAAAACTTGAAGACATAGGTAACAAATAGTATAATACAATTTGATAGACAATTAAATTGTGCCTCTGATTCACGTAAAATATACAAGGTATTCCATTTAAATTAAACAAGTTATTGTCGGTTAAAGCTAGTAATTATTTAATATAAATTTTAAGACACTCTGTATAAGGTAGTATAATTTTTATTATTGCAACACCAAATTTAGTAAATTGAAAAACTTCAATAAAATATTTGGTTTTAAAAACTTTAATACGCCTAGAGAAATGAAGCCTTAAAATTGTCAGTGCATTTTCATCAAATCGTTAATATTTCAAAAAACCTTAAGATTAAAGTGCGGTAAACCTTTACATTAATCGTAGAAACTAAAATGTAATAATATACAGGGCGTTCCACTTAATAAAATACAACCATGATATTTTTTATTTATTTGGGACACTCTGTACCTTTTGAAAATAACTTAAACTAGTGGTTTCAGTAGTCCTTCAACGATCCCATCAACTAAAAATTTAATCATTTGGGTACGGTACGATGAGATGAATAACCCTGTATTTTTAAGTGCTTAAATGCACCCAATTAAAAAAATAATTAGCAATCGCCTTGGTATTGAGGTCCTGGCAATATTTTTGTTATCTGAGGTGACTTTTACACGTGTCTGCTATAGCTCGTGTTCTTGTTTACAACGCAAATAAGTACGTAAAATAGGTATCAAACGGATACGTTCAATTGAGAGAGCAAATATTATTTAAACTCAATGTTACTAAGCGTTTTTAAAAATTATATATTACAACAACTGGATTTAAAAAAAAACAGTATAGTTTAGTCTTCCCAATTAAAATGTTGGTGTACTTAATATTGGCTATTTTACTTTTCGTTTTTTACTTAAAATGGCGTCATACTTACTGGAAAAGACTTGGAGTGTATCAGTTTGATACCGAGTTCTTATTTGGCGATACCAAAAACGAGGTGTTGGGTAAAGCAAGCATTTTCCAAGCCTTTAAAGATAAATACAAACAACTGAGAGCCCTAAACCAGAAACACGGAGGTGTCTACATGCTGCTGAAACCAGTTTACGTGCCTGTGGACCTGGACTTAATAAAAAGAATCGTCGTTAAAGACTTTCAATACTTCCAGGGACACATGGACAACACTCATCCTAAAGACAACCTTAGTAAGAACCTTTTTGGTCTGTACGGTGATCCCTGGAGGAAGCTAAGAATCAAGCTGACCCCAACGTTTACTTCTGGTAAGATGAAGTTGATGTTTGAGACCTTAGTAGAGAAAACGAAGGGTTTGGAGGAGTTAGTGAGGAGTCACGTTAAAAATAATCAACCTCTTGACATAAAAGAAGTGATAGCTAGGTTCACTACTGATATAATTGTCAGCTGTGCATTTGGGCTCGAAAGTAACTGTTTGGGTGAAGCTGAAAGCGAGTTTCGTAGGTACGGAAGAAAAGTATTTGATTTAAAGACTTGGAGGATGGTTATTCGTAATATTCTTCCACGTGTGTTGGTGACTTTATGTTATCGTTTAGGATTTACCTTATTTCCTAGAGACGTAACCCAATTTTTCAACAAAACGGTTCAAGATACCATTTGCTACAGGGAGCAAACGAAATTCTACAGAAAGGATTTCATGCAGTTGCTGTTGGAGATAAAGAACAAAGAAAACAGGGCGGATTCAATTACAGATGAAGAGATCATTGCGCAATGTTTTGTTTTCTTTATGGCAGGCTACGAGACATCGTCAACTACCACAACTTTTGTTTTACTCGAACTGTCACAGAATCAACACATCCAAGAGAAACTAAGAGCGGAAATTAGGGATGTCTTGGAAAAACACGAAGGAGCGATTACTTACGATGCAATCATGGAAATGACGTATCTTGAAATGGTTATTAACGAAACCCTAAGAAAGTACCCTCCAGTTCCAAATATTCCCCGATTCTGCACGAAGGATTATCACGTTCCTGGCACAGACGTAACTATTCAAAAAGGAACCCAGGTTCAAATTCCAGTGTGGGGCCTTCAAACCGATCCGGAATATTTTCCAAACCCGAAAAAATTCAACCCAGAAAATTTCAGTGCGGAAAATAAGTCCAAAATTCCGGAAATGGCTTTTATACCTTTCGGAGAGGGACCTAGGATGTGCAACGGGTTGCGTTTTGGAAAGTTACAGAGCAAAGTTGCTCTGGTCAGTTTATTGAGAAACTTTAATTTTACTCTGAGTGAAAAAACTCGTATTCCTATTGAGTTTGAGAAAGTGAGTTTAATTTTAACTGTTGAAGGGGATGTATGGTTGAATGCAACTGAAATTTAAGAGAAAAATGTGTGATAATATTATAATAAATAATATACTTCTCTGTACTGTTTATCATAATAAATTTAATAAAGATGCCCGAACAGAAGCATTAAATTATTTAATATTTAATGTATACCGGGTGCGTCTCAAAAGTGGCTCACCCCTATAACTTTTTTTATTTTTTCAGATAAAAAAACGAGATTTGGTATGTCAGTATCTACATATATAAAACGCTAATGTTTATCTGTGTCGTCTCTACTGAAGTAACGACTTGCTCTAGAAAGTTGCTTTTTTTACTAAAAGATAGCTAATTGGCTCTTCTAAAAAGCGTCGTCGCCAGATTTTTTGTTTTTCATTTAATTTAAAAAAAAATATATTTTTTTCTTGATGTCGCGTCATGGCGGATGCGCCAGGCTTCAACTACTATGATATAAATTAGGATTAATAATTGACGTATTCAATTGTTTTTGGTCATTTCGCCGGAAATTACTTCAACTTTGATTTTTAAATGGCATCCTCATTATATTTTCACTTTATTCGATTGAAAATGACACTGATTACAGTTGAGGGTTGGAACCTTTGGTGTTACACAGCAAAATAAAACACTAAATCACCACAATACACCAAAACACTTTTACTTTTACACTGGACGCGCGTTTCGCTAACCATGTTAGCATCATCAGCAGATGATTGTAAACTAAAATACAATCTACAATTGGAGCGTTTATATTCTCGCTCAGTGGGCACAGAGTGGGCGTGGCAAGATCTAGCCAACCGAGTCAGAACCCAACCGAACGTAACAGTTAGATTTCCGCCACTAGAGTAGTAGGAATAAAGAACTTTAAGGAATTGGACCGTTGTCTCTCATACCATCTTTACATTTATTAATTCTGATGCTTTCATATGCATCGAATTGCCTGTAATTTGAGACTTGTTTAATTATTTCAAGTTATTAAGATCTATATAATGTTCTTTATCAACAATATGTTCGGCAACGCAAGATTTATCCGGTCTACCATATCTTATCTGAGCTAAATGTTCTTTAAATCTAGTTAATATTGATCTTCTAGTTTGCCCAACATTTTTCTGATTACAATCTTTACAAGAAATTTCATAAATACCCGACCTTTCCAGTAGAGGTTAGGTTAGTTCTTAAAAATTCCTTTTAGACCACGGGTTATAAAAGACCCGTAGTCTAAAAGGAATTTTTAAGAATGTCAATTATAAACTTGTGTATAGTGCTAATAATAAATTATAACAATTATTAGGTAATCCAAAGGATAAAACACCTCTACTGGAAAGGTCGGGTATTTATGAAATTTCTTGTAAAGATTGTAATCAGAACTATGTTGGGCAAACTAGAAGATCAATATTAACCAAATTTTAACATTTGGCTCAGATAAGATATGGTAGACCGGATAAATCTTGCGTTGCCGAACATATTGTTGATAAAGAACATTGTATAGATCTTAATAACTTGAAATTAATTAAACAAGTCTCAAATTGCAGGCAATTAGATGCATATGAAAGCATCAGAATTAATAAATCTAAAGATGGTATGAACAGAGACAACGGTCCAATTCCTTCAAGTTCTTTGTTACTACTACTCTAGTGGCGGAAATCTAACTGTTACGCTTGGTGGGTTCTGACTCGGTTGGCTAGATCTTTCCACGCCCACTCTGTGCCCACTGAGCGAGTATATAAACGCTCCAATTGTAGATTGTATTTTAGTTTATAATGATCTGCTGATGATGCTAACATGGTTAGCGAAACGCGCGTCCACTGTAAAAGTAAAAGTGTTTTAGTGTATTGTGGTGATTTAGTGTTTTTAATTTTGCTGAAAATGACACTCTGAATAGAATGGCATATCATATGTCAACTTTTGACATTTTTGCTTAAAAAAAATCGTATTTAAAATTTAATTTTAGAGTGCCATATCTGTATTAAAAACACAAATTTTTAATCAAGGAGCCTTGGAAAAATAGATTTGATCGTCAAATATTTTTCGTGTCTTATCTTGGCGGGTTAAAAGATGTCCATATCTATTTTTTTTGAAATGTAGCAAGCATTTTTGGAAAAAATAGGGATAATTTGATACCACACACTTGGTATTTCGAGTCAAATTATTTTTGTTATGAACCGCGTGTTATATACTTTCAAATAAATCATATGCGAAAATGTCAAAAGTTGACATATGATATGTCATTCTATTCAGAGTGTCTTTTTTTATCGAATAAATATACCGAGTGTGCTATGTAAAAATCAAAAGTTGTAGTTATTTCCAGTGAAACAGGAAGTGACCAAAATCAAGTGAATACGTCAATCAATCCTAATTTATGTCATATACTAACATACCAAATCTCATTTTTTTATCTGAAAAAATAAAAAAAGTTATAGGGGTGAGCTACTTTTGACACGCACCCAGTATAAATAATGTAGTTTTTAGATTAATTTTTATGATATATTTTTAAATGATAAGGATATGTCCTTAAGTGCAGTTTCGTGTTCGGAATTAAAATGTTGGTGTACGTAATATTAGCCATTCTACTTTTTGTTTTTTACGTAAAATGGCAGCATACATATTGGAAGAGACACGGAGTGTATCAGTTAGATACCGAGTTTCTATTTGGTAACTTTAAAAACGAGTTGTTGGGCAAAGCAAGCCTTTTCCAGGCCTTTAAAAATAAATACAAACAACTAAAAGCCTTAAACCTGAAACATGGAGGTGTATACGTTTTGCTGAAACCAGTTTATGTGCCAGTTGACCTAGACATAATAAAACGAATCCTTATCAAGGATTTTTCCTACTTCCAGGGTCACGCGAACGATTTTCATCCAAAAGACAACCTTAGCATGAACCTTTTCTTTATTCACGGTGATATATGGAGGAAGCTAAGAACCAAGCTTACCCCAACCTTTACTTCCGGTAAGATGAAGTTGATGTTTGATACTTTAGTAGAAAAAACAAAAGGTTTGGAGGAATTGGTTCGGAGTCACGTCAAGCATAGCCAACCTCTTGACGTAAAAGAAGTGGCAGCTAGGTTCACGACCGATATAATTGTCAGCTGTGGGTTTGGGCTTGAAAGTAATAGTTTGGGTGAAGCTGAAACCGAGTTCCGGATGTACGTCGCAGAATCAAGATATCCAGGAGAAACTAAGAGCGGAAATCAAGGATGTCCTGGAAAAACACGAAGGAGCGATTACTTACGAGGCCATCATGGAAATGACGTATCTTGAAATGGTTGTTAACGAAACCCTAAGAAAATACCCTCCAGTTCCATTTATACCCCGATACTGCACGAAGGATTATCATGTTCCAGGTACAGATGTAATTATTAAAGAAGGAACCCAGGTTCAAATTCCAGCTTGGGGCATTCAAACCGATCCGGAATATTTTCCAAATCCGGAAAAATTCAACCCGGAAAACTTTAGTGCGGAAAATAAGTCCAAAATCCCGGAAATGGCTTTCATACCTTTCGGAGAAGGACCAAGGATGTGTATAGGGTTACGGTTTGGGAAGATACAAAGCAAACTTGCTCTGGTCAGTTTATTGAAAAACTTTAGATTTACTCTGAACGAAAAAACTCATACTCCCATCGAGTTTACGAAAGTGAGTTTCGTTTTATCCGTTGAAGGGGACGTATGGTTGAATGTAACTGAAATTTAAGAAAGAAATGTGTGATAACAAAATAATATATATTTTTGAACTGTTTATTATAATATATCTAATAAAAAAAGCCTGAAAAATTAAGTATTATATTACTTAATATTTAATTTATATAAATAATTTAGATATTTTGCAGACCAACTTTTAGATGATATTAATATTATTTTTTTATGATATTAAAAAATGTACAAAATGTTCTAAATTGGAAGGTAACCATTGTGATCTCAGAAACTATAAAATATACAAGGGAGGTCAAATTAATGGCAAAAATTTGCAAACAAAACAAAATATGAAATAGTTATTATTTTTGCCTGCCTTTATTTGAAAAGGTATTGTAAAATCAACCTTCATTATAGCCACTTTTTTCTCCGAGGTACCAACATTTACTTTATTTTTAGGGTTTTGTACCTCAAAACCAAAAAACGGAACCCTTATAGGATCACTTTGTTTGTCTGTCTGTCAAGAACCTTTATCTCGGGAACGCGTGGAGGTATCGAGTTGAAATTAAAACCATTTTCTCATGTCTACAAGTCTACAGTCCCTTGAGGCTGTGAAAAAATTAAACTTCTAAGTTAACGTAAAAAAAAGATACATATATTTCAACATTCTCAAGAGAATCAAAATGTATATGTTATTTTCCGTTGACCTATGTATGTAAGAAATATGGAAAATAATATCGTCTTATCAGTCAAGCAAGTTAAGAATAAAACTTGAATCTTGTTTAATTTGTTCCAGTAAGTATAAGTGGTAAATTTAGATTGAATTTTGCCACAAAAAGTGTCATTTTTGCTCCTAATAAAACAATATACTATTTTTTTCAAACGTTAAAAAAACATTAATTTCTGCGACGTGATTGGCAGTATAAAAAAATAATTTAACTGACAAAGTGTCAAATTCAACGAGCGCAACCATAGTTTCTCGATATATAATTATTTACAACGTATTCCTTTTAAATCTTTTTACATTATTTGGAACGTTTGAAATTGTTTAAAAATCATTTGTGACATTTGAAAAAAATAGCATGTTCTATTTGGAATAAAAATGATTTTTTGTGGCTCGCCTGTATGTGAAACGTACAGCCTCGCCACGAAAATTACCATTTTTACTCCTAATAAAACAATATACTATTATTACATTTTTATATAGAAATATACAGGGTGTCTCAGATTTTAATCGGGAAAATTTAATAGACGATAGAACTTGCAAAAATAAAACAAAAAGTTCATATCAACTTGTAAGATTTAAAGCTTCCTTTTCGAGATACAGGGTGTTAAAGTAACTTAAAAAAGAAAAAAATATTAAGATACTATTTGAAAAACTATTTTATCGATTTTGATATAACTTGACCCGTTTATAATACTTACTAAGGGACTTAATTTGATGTAATTAGATTTAAGTTTAATGGCCAGGGGCGGCAGTGGGGCATCACTGTTAAATTATTTTACAGGAAAAAAAAGGCACGCCACTGCTTTTTTAGAAGTTTAATATTATTTTTGGATTTAGTAATTAAAAATATTATTTTTTTGTCTCCCGACTTTTTTGTCTATCTTGCTTACTTCTTGCGTAAAAAAATAAATTCTAATTGGTAATTAATATTATAATTGGTATTCTAATGGTACCCTGTATCTCGAAAAGGAAGCTTTAAATTTTACAGGTTGATATGAACTTTTTGTTTTATTTTTGCAAGTTCTATCGTCTATTAAATTTTCCCGATTGAGAGAGACACCCTGTATATTCGAAACAATCTCAAATAGAAAACCGGTGTAAAAACATAAAATTTTATATACAGAAAAAATTGTATTTTCGAAACTATATTAATAAGTCTAGTTTAAAAAATTATATACAGGGTGAGTCTTAAATAAGTGCAAATATTTTCACGGGTGGTATATTTCGACCCCAGAAAGACGTCTATGAGGTTTTTTTCGCAAAAAAAAGATGTTGAAAATCGTGCATTTTCTTTTCAAGTTCCCTGTATATTTTTCGAAAACTTTTTAGAACTGCCTGTTCACCGCAAATTTTCCCACGGTATAATTTATTAATCTCTGATAGTCACAGCTTTACTCTATGGTCACGGCACTAAAAGGGATGCAAATACAGAAAAAAGCCGGTGGCTCTCAAAATTTTTCCAAGAAAAATCAATTTTTTTTAAAATTTTCTTAAAAACTTAAATAACTCAGTTATTTTGAACTTATTTGAAAAATGGTAAAGAGAAAATATGTTTCTTTTATCGAGATATACCAGTCCGGAAAATATTTGCACTTATTTAAGACTCACCCTGTATAAACAAACTAATTAACGAATTGCAAATATTGTTATGCAGCAGTTCCTAACAATGTAATTAGGATACTATGGTCTTATCAGGGTATTCTCATTATTTCTATTTTTCATATTGTAATATAGTGATACGAATCTTGTTTTTGCAACTGTTATAAGTTATTATAAATTTATTGTGCTTCTAAATAACTCGAAATCGTCTGGCAATGAACGGAATTTTATTTGTTTATTTATTAAAAAGTCGCGAGTTTACCTACATATCATTACTGTAGAAATTAGACAAATAACAATTTTTGCTAATAGCATCGTGAGTAATCAAAACCTACTTGTCAATTAAAATTAAAAAAGTGGTTATCAGGATGATGTGTACGTATTGTGAGAACGGGATGTTATTACGACTTAATAACAACTTAATAATATTACTTAGCGTTTTTTAAAATTATAAATAACTTGATGGCAGCGTTTAAATAAACAGTATAATTTCGACTTCCTAGTTAAAATGTTGTTGTTTTTAATATCGGCCATTTTACTGTTGGTTCTCTACGTAAAATGGCAGCATACTTACTGAAAAAGGCTCGGAGTGTATCAGTTTGATACCGAGTTCCTATTTGGCGATACCAAAAACGAGGTGTTGGGTAAAGCAAGCATCTTCGAAGCCATCAAAGAAAAATACAAACAACTAAAAGCTCTAAACCTGAAACATGGAGGTATCTACATGCTGCTCAAACCAGTTTATGTGCCAGTCGACTTGGACTTAATAAAAAGAATCGTCGTCAAGGACTTTTCCTACTTCCAAGGTCACATTGACAACATCCATCCTAAAGACAACCTCAGCATGAACCTTTTTGGTCTATACGGTGATCCATGGAAGAAGCTAAGAAGCAAGCTGACCCCAACGTTTACTTCTGGTAAAATGAAGTTGATGTTTGATACCTTAGTAGAGAAAACAAAAGGTTTGGAGGAATTAGTGAGGAGTCACATTAAAAATAATCAACCTCTCGACATCAAAGAAGTGGTAGCTAGGTTCACTACGGATATAATTGTCAGCTGTGCTTTTGGGCTTGAAAGTAACTGTTTGGGTGAAGCTGAGACCGAGTTCCGTACATACGGGAGGAAAGTATTCGAATTGAAGGCTTGGAGGATGCTTATTCTTAACGGCATTCCGCGTAAATTGCTGACTTTATGCTACCATCTAGGTTTCAGTGCAGTTCCTAGGGACGTTGGTCAGTTTTTCAACAAGACAGTTCAAGATACCATTCGGTACAGGGAGCAAACAAAATTGTACAGAAAGGATTTCATGCAGTTGCTGTTAGAGTTGAAGAACAAAGAAAAGGGAGCTGCCAATTCAATTACAGACCAAGAGATCATTGCGCAATGTTTTGTTTTCTTTATCGCAGGCTATGAAACATCGTCCACCACCACAACTTTTGTTTTACTCGAATTGTCACAGAATCAAGATATCCAGGAGAAACTAAGAGTCGAAATCAGGGATGTCTTGGAAAAATACGACGGAGCGATTACTTACGATGCAATTATGGAAATGACGTATCTTGAAATGGTTATTAACGAAACCCTAAGAAAATACCCTCCAGTACCCATTATTCCCCGATTCTGCACGAAAGATTATCACGTTCCAGACACAGACGTAATTATTAAAAAAGGAACCCAGGTTCAAATTCCAGTTTGGGGCCTTCAAACCGATCCGGAATATTTTCCGAACCCGGAAAAATTCAACCCGGAAAATTTCAGTGCGAAAAATAAGTCCAAAATCCCGGAAATGGCTTTTATACCTTTCGGAGAGGGACCCAGGATGTGCATCGGGTTGCGTTTTGGCATGTTACAGAGCAAAGTTGCTCTGGTCAGTTTACTGAGAAACTTTAATTTTACTCTGAGTGAAAAAACTCATACTCCTATCGAGTTTGAGAAAGTGAGTTTTATTTTATCCGTTGAAGGGGATGTATGGCTGAATGCAACTCAAATTTAACAAGGAAATGTGTGATAATATAATAAATTATTTCTGGACTGTTTATTTATTATACAGGGTGAGTCTTAAATAAGTGCAAATAATTTCATTGCTGGGTGCTTCGATAAAAGAAACATATTTTATCATTATCTTTTTTCGAATAAAGCATACGTTCAAAATAACGAAGTTATTTTTCTTTGAAAATTAGGAAAGAAATGATTTTTTACTCATATTTTGAGAACCACTGGATTTTTTCTGGGGTTTCTTTTTTGTAAAACTAATATACTACCTATTATATCACGATTATATCAAGATATTATGTTTTTTCACTAAAAATAAAAAAAAATACAACCATTTTTTCGAAAAATACAAAATTTTCCAAAAAAAATTCGCGAAAACAGCCTCATAGACGTGGCTCTGGAATCGAAATATATCGCCTTTAAAAACATTTGCACTTATTTAAGACTCACCCTGTATATGTAATTAAAAGCCTGAAAATAATCATTAAATCAATTAATATTTAATTGGTATAAATAATGTAGATATTTTTGAGACTAAATTTTATAACGTATCTTTAAATTATATTAGTGTTTATTATTAATAATGATGTGTATGTTATTAAAATAGTACAGGGTTTCCGAAACAGGAAAGTGTCCGAAATTGGAACCTCGGAAACTTTCACTCCTAAAAGTGATACATTATTTTATTTAGGAGGTCGAATGCTTAAAAAAAATAAAAAGAATGATCTTATCTATTGTGGTTTCCGAGATTCCAATTGTCACCCTCAAATTTGGGACAGTCTGTACATTACGACAGATTTGAAGTGTGAGATTTATTTTGAATAAAGATTTTTTTAAAATATTTATAGTTTTGTGTACAGGATATTTATAAAAATTAAAATTGATTATTATTGACCAACTGATTATTACAAACTTTCAGTGTTGGGATTAATCAAGAAATAATAGTGGAGCTACATTTTAAAATGATTTTAAAAGGTACAAGGTGTCATAAAATATATTATTTTTTTTTAATGAAACACTCTAAATATTATTAGATTATTTTTAGTCTGCATAACCGAAATAAAAATATATTTGACTAGCGTGTACCAGCGACTTCGTTCGCGTCAAATTAATATAATTATACGGGCTGCAGCAGAATTTGTGATCTTTTTTTTTGTTTTGGTGGCAAACAATGAGTCATCATTTGGTCACCAGCGACAATTTTAGCGATTTTTAATAGTTTGTGTGTAGTAACCTTTGTATAAACTTTATTATAATGGTGATTAGTTGTTCAGCTTTCAAGTGTAAAAGCAGCAGCGATAAGAAAGAGCCAGGAGTTACGTTTCATAGGTAAATAAACAGTCCACTCCAACTTTTTAGCGTTTTCTTATTGAATTCGATAATTATTCTTCAATTTCAATTAATATCTATATGTACTTGATATGTGCTATACGTCGATACTAGTTTTGTACCTTTTGTTAACATTTTAATACGTTTTTTTCGTAATTAATTAGGATGATACACCATAGGCGTAGTCAAAACAATTATCAAAAAATATAAATATTGCTTCAAACAGCTAGGTTAAGAAAAATATGTGCCACGGCACTGTTTGATGGCATCGTCACAATTTGCTCTCGGGTGTTATTTGTCCTTGGAGTCTTTAGTCATTGGTAATATTTGAGATGTAGTTTCATCTCGTTGGAATTTGACTTTCTAAAAATCCGTTTGTCAAAAATAAGCTTTTTGCGTCAAGCAGTTTAAGCAGAATCATGGTTAAGAAATTACCCAACTTTTTGGAACACCCTGTATGATTTTTTAAAAAATTTCAAAATATATAAAAAAACCAAATAAATTATGCTGGTTCAAGCGTTTTCCCGAAAAACTAACCGTTTTTTATATAACAAATATTGTAATATTTGAGGGGCGTTTTCACCCTCTTGGAATTTGAGATTCGAGAAACCCCTCCTTGTCGAACCTCTACACCCCACAGTCAATCCGTTTGCCAAAAATCAGCTTTAAACGTCAAGCAGTTAAAGCAGAATCGTGATTACTCAATGGTCATATTTTATAAAACACCCTATATAAATTTATAAAAAAATCTTAAAATATGTGTTGAAGAGTTTTTCCGAAAAACTCACCGGTTTTTAAATACAAAATATTTTAATATTTGAGGGATAGTTTCACCCCCTTAGAAATTCAAGTTTCGAAAAATCCCTTCTTATCGAACCTCTACACCCTAAAGCGCTTTAAGCAGGATCGTGATTAATCAATGACCAGATTTTTCGAAACACCCTGTATACATTTTTTAAAAAATCTTAAAATATGTGAAAAAACAAAATAAAATATACGTGTTTAAGCGTTTTTTTCGGAAACTTGACCGTTTTTTAAATAAAAAATATTGTAATACTTGAGGGGTATTTTCACCCTCTTGGAACTGGAATTTCGAAAAATCCCTTCTTATCGAACCTCTACACCCTAGAATCAGCCTGTATGCCAAAATTGAGCTTCTTACGTTGAGTGGTTTGAGCAGGATCGTGATTAATCAGTATGTCAGTCACTTAAGAATTTTATATATTAGTACCTATAGATTAAGGTTTACCTCATTTAAACCTTACAATTTTACTGGATCATGATATTCTCATTATTTTAATTTTTTCTTCTTGATATAATATACTGATATAATTTTTGTTTTTGCTTATTGTTATTAATTTACTGTGTAATTAATTCGAAAATATTTGGTAATTAATTAAATTCTATTTATTTATTGAATAAAAAATCGACATTACATATCATATACAGGGTGACTCTTAAATCAGTGCAAATATTTTTAGGGGTAGTATATTTCAGCCCCAGAAACATGTCTATGAGGTTCTTTTCGCAAAAAAAATTAGAAAATTTAGAATTTTTTTGAAAAAATCTTTTTTTGAAAAAAATTTTTAGTTAAAAAACATAATTTCCTGATATGATGGCAATATAGGTAGTATATTAAATTAACAAGAAAGAAAACTCGGTAAAGATCCAGTGGTTCTCAAAATTTAAGCAAAAAATATATTTTTTTAAAATTTTCAAACTAAAATAATTCGGTTATTTTGGAGTTATTCGAAAAACGGTAAAGAAAAAATATGCTTCTTTTATTGAGATCTACCAGCCCTGAAAATATTTGCATTTATTTAAGGCTCACCCTATAAAGCGATAATCGATAATTACTGTAGTACATTAGACGCATAACAATTTTTGCTAATAACAACATGGCTAATCAGATTCCACTTCTCAATGAAAAAATGTGCTTAATAGTAATCAGGATGATATGCAGAATTGAACAAGTAAATATTATTGTAACTAAATGTTACTTAGCGTTTCTTTAAAAACTATAAATAATCTAGCAGCGGCGTTTAAATAAATAGTATAGTTTTGTCTTCCCAATTAAAATGTTGGTGTACTTAATATTGGCTATTTTACTTTTCGTTTTCTACGTGAAATGGCAGCATACTTATTGGAAGAGGCACGGAGTGTATCAGTTTGATACTGACTTCTTATTTGGTGATACCAAAAATGAGATGTTGGGTAAATCAAGCATTTTCCAAGCGGTCAGAGATAAATACAATCAACTGAAAGCCCAAAACCTGAAATATGGAGGTGTCTACATGCTGCTCAAGCCAGTTTTTGTGCCAGTAGACTTGGACTTAATAAAAAGAATCGTCGTCAAGGACTTTTCCTACTTTCAGGGTCACATTGACAACGTTCATCCTAAGGACAACCTTAGCATGAACCTTTTTGGTCTATACGGCGATCCATGGAAGAAGCTAAGAATCAAGCTCACTCCAGCGTTTACTTCTGGTAAAATGAAGTTGATGTTTGATACTTTAGTGGAAAAAACGAAAGGCTTGGAGGAATTAGTGAGGAGTCACATTAAAAATAATCAACCTCTTGACATCAAAGAAGTGATAGCTAGGTTCACTACGGATATAATTGTCAGCTGTGCATTTGGGCTCGAAAGTAACAGTTTGGAGGTAGCTGAAACCGAGTTCCGTAAATATGGAAGAAAAGTGTTCGATTTGAAGGCTTGGAGGATGGTTCTTCTTAATAGTGTTCCGCGTTCACTGCTAACATTATGCTATCATTTAGGATTTACCGCGTTTCCTAGAGACGTAAGCCAATTTTTCAATAAAACAGTTCAAGATACCATTCGCTACAGGGAGGACACAAAATTGTACAGAAAGGATTTCATGCAATTGCTGTTAGAAATGAAGAACAAGGAAAACGGAGCAATAAATAAAATTACAGACGAAGAGATAATTTCACAATGTTTTGTATTCTTTATCGCAGGCTACGAGACATCGGCAACCACCACAACTTTTGTTTTACTTGAATTGTCTCAGAATCAAGATATCCAGGAGAAACTAAGAGCGGAAATCAGGGAAGTCTTGGAAAAACACGAAGGAGCGATTACTTACGATGCCATCATGGAAATGACGTATCTGGAAATGGTTATTAACGAAACTCTAAGAAAGTACCCTCCAGTACCAATGATCCCCAGATTCTGCACGAAGGATTATCACGTTCCAGGCACAGACGTAACTATTAAAAAAGGAACTCAGGTTCATATTCCAGTTTGGGGCCTTCAAACCGATCCGGAATATTTTCCAAACCCGGAAAAATTTAATCCAGAGAATTTCAGTGCGGAAAATAAATCCAAAATTCCGGAAATGGTCTTTATACCTTTCGGAGAGGGACCCAGGATGTGCATCGGGTTGCGTTTTGGAAAGTTACAGAGCAAAGTTGCTCTGGTCAGTTTATTGAGAAACTTTAATTTTACTCTCAGTGAAAAAACTCATACTCCTATCGAGTTTGAGAAAGTGAGTTTTATTTTATCCGTTGAAGGGGATGTATGGTTGAATGCAACGGAAATTTAGGAGGAAAATGTGTGATAATATTATAATAAATTTATTTCTGGATTGTATATTATTATACAGGGTGAGTCTTAAATAAGTGCAAATATTTTCAGGGCTGGGTAGATCTCGATAAAAGAAACATATTTTTTCTTTGCCGTTTTTCAAATAGGTCTAAAATAACCCGGATATTTTACTTTAAAAATAAAAAAAAATGATTTACTTTTTAAAAATTTTGGGAGCCACCGAACTTTTTCTGCGTTTGCATCTCTTTTAGTGTTTTCAATTTTTTTTTTGCGAAAAAATATTTGCAGTTATTTAAGACTCACCCGGTATATCTAATGAAAAGCCTGAAAATGTCCATTTTAGTAATTAATATTTAATTGGTTAAAATAGTGTGTAGTTATTTTTAAGTAAATTTTATAATGTACCTTTAAATGATAAGAAATTGAGGTTATTATTAATTATTAATATTAATATTGATGTGTATGTTATTAAAAAAATACAAGGTGTCCAAAACGTGTGAGGTCGTGTGTTTTAAAAAAAGATTAAAAAATACAGGTTCGTATTTGTAAAAAAATGATCTTTTTCGTACCTATTGTGGTTTCCGAGTTTCCAATTGTCACCCTCATTTTTCGGACAGTCTGTACATTAAGACAGACTTTATGTGTGAGATTTATTTTGAATAAAGAATTAAAAAAAACAGTATAGTTTATGTACAATATGTTGATAAAAATTAATTTTTTTATTACTTTTAATTGATTTTTACAAACTTTGAGTGTTGAGATCATTGAAAATATACTATAGCTACAATTTAAAATTATTTTATAAGGTATAAACAGAGTGTCATAAAATATATTAAGGAAGTTTTTTTTTTAAATGAAACACCCTATACGTTATTACATTTTTAGACTGTAAGATCGAAATAAAGCTAACTTTGATGGTTTACCATTAAGTTTTATTTTTGTTTACCATTTTAATTGATAAGACTTACCTCATTTATGTCTTACTATTTTTTGAAACATTTTAATATGTCATTTATCTAGGCGTGTTTAAGTTTTTAAAACGAAATATGCACTGAAGGTTTTTTATTTAGTAAATATTGTGCTGCAGTAATAAAAATAAGACTAGTTTATACAGGGTGTCTAAAAATTTCTAGGTTGATTGAACTTTATGACTCTTATGACCTTACTTTATCCTTAAATCGCCAGATTATTTAAAAACATTAAAATGTTTGTGAAAGAGTAAGAATTCATTATGCTTTAATTATTTCCATTCGACCATTAACTGATTATTTGGCTTAATTTATAAACAAAAAACGAGTAATTTGAGAACTAACACAGTTGCAAAACAGATTTCTTTTGTACATTTTTAAATTGTTTTTAATGCCGTTTTTTTGATTCCAACTAGCAAAAATAAACATTGAGCAAAAATATTGAACCGTGATTATACCGAATATACAGGGTGGTCCGAATTGTATTCGGACAACTTCGGCAGCATATTCTGCAGAAAAAAAATGAGTAAAAAAAATTGGTATAAATTTATGTCTTAAAATGCTTAGTTTCGGAGATACATGTGTAGAAATTTCATTTTTATTTCGATTATTTTCAAGTAATTTATGAACAGAGGTCGATATTTGTATGAAAATTGGTGAAATCACTTCTGTATTTATTTTTATCTGCAGAATTTGGCGGGAGCGTTCAGAAGTCGCTTTAGTAGAGTAATTAAAATACTTTGTGCTTATCAGTGTATTGTTATTACTTTAATATTTTACATTGTACTGATATGTAGGATTTATATAAACGTATTATGTTTGTAAATACATAATTAGAATGGCCTTTATCCTGGCATAAATAAAGATTTATTTATTTAATAAAAGAAATTTAGATTTTAAATCATTTAATATCAATAACTGATTATTATTACTTATAACTACTACAATAGAGACAGAACAATATTTCATAACTTTTGCTAATGCCATGATCACTTCTCAAAACGTACTTGACAGTGAAAAATATATAAACTACTTAGTTATCAGTATGATTACATCGGGTTTTCAAAAATTATAAATAACCAAACAAGCCTATCTAAACTTGCACAGTATAGTTTAGCGTTCCTAAATAAAATGTTGATTTACTTAGTACCAGTCATTTTACTTTTTGTTTTTTACGGAAAATTAAAGCACTCTTACTGAAAAAGACTCGGAGCGTATCAATTTGACACCGAATTCCTTTTTGGTAACTTTAAAAACGAGTTGTTGGGCAAAACAAGCCTTTTCCTTGCTTTCAAAGATAAATACAAACAGCTGAAAGCCCTAAACCTGAAACATGGAGGTGTGTACATGTTGCTCAAACCAATATATGTACCAGTTGACTTGGATATAATAAAAAGAATCTTCGTCAAGGACTTTCCATACTTCCAGGGTCACATGGACAATGCACACCCGAAAGATAACCTTGGCATGAACATTTTTGGTCTGTATGGTGATCCATGGAAGAAGCTGAGAGTCAAGCTGACTCCAATGTTTACTTCTGGTAAAATGAAGTTGATGTTTGAGACCTTAGTAGAAAAAACAAAGAGTTTGGAGGAATTAGCGAGGAGTCACGTAAAAAATAACGAATCTCTAGCCATAAAAGAAGTTGTAACTAGGTTCGCTATGGATATATTTGCTAGCTGTGGGTTTGGGATTGAGTCTAACTGTTTGACTGAAGCTGAAAACGAGTTCCGTAAGTACGGAGAGAAAGTTTTTGACTTGAAAACTTGGAGGATGTTTATTCTTAATAGTGTTCCACGGTCTTTGCTAACTTTATGTTATCATCTAGGATTTAAAGCGTTTCCTAGAGACGTAAACCGATTTTTCACCAAAACAGTTCAAGACACTATTCGCTACCGGGAACAAATGAAACTGTACAGAAACGACATCATGCAGCTGCTGCTAGAAACGAAGAAAAAGAAAACTCAATCACCAAAGAAGAGATTGTTCATCACCTGACATCATTAACCACCACGACTTTTGTTTTGTTTGAATTGTCCCAAAACCAAGATATCCAGGAAAAACTAAGAACGGAAATCAAGGATATCCTGGAGAGACACGAAGGAGCGATGACGTACGATGCCATAATGGAGATGACGTATCTTGAAATGGTTATTAACGAGACCCTAAGAAAGTACCCTCCAGTACCAATGATTCCCCGATTCTGCACGAATGATTATCAAGTTCCTGGTACAGATGTATTATTTAAAAAAGGAACCCAGGTTCAAATTCCAGTTTGGGGCCTTTAAACCAATCCGGAATATTTTCCAAACCCGGAAAATTTCGACCCGCAAAATTTCAGTGCGGAAAATAAGTCCAGAATCCCGGAAATGGCTTTTATACCTTTCGGAGAAGGTCCCACGATGTGTCTCGGTTTGAGATTTGGAAAGTTACAGAGCAAAGTTGCTCTGGTGAGTTTGTTGAGGAACTTTAAGTTTACTCTGAGTGAAGAAACTCAAATTCCTGTTGAGTTTGAGAAAGTGGGTACAATTTTTACCGTTTAAGGGGATGATTGGTTGAATGCTACTGAAATTTAAAGAGAAAATGTTTGTATATTATTATTTTTTTTTATTTGATACGATTATATTGCTACTTTGTATATACAAAATTTGAAAATTAAAATGTACTTATATGTATTATCTTTATGGCAGTATATCTAGACAAAAAATATTATAAATCTGAAAGAATAATATAGTATTTTATAGCAGCTATAAAAATTAAGCAGATAATTTTGTTACAAACTTTCCAATGTATTTTCAATTAGTTATTATTTTTTATCCAAGCTAGGAAAATATATATTTTGCTGTTTAATATTTATTAACCCACCTAACCAAATAAAGACAAGAGAATACACAATGCACATGCGCGCGTGCACAGAAAACGAAAGTATTGGCTGTTGGCCTTAAGAAGGTTCTAATTCCTTAATAAAGATAAGGATAGCTTGACTTCGCTAAAATTTTCATTGTTTTACATTCCCCAGCCGTCTTTGACGCCGTTTTTTTTTTTCATCCTATGGTATTTAACAATGTTAAAAGCATCTTAAAAACCTCCGTGAGTATGGAAGCCCTAGGTATATTGTACGAATTTTTATTCAAACCGATTTAATGCTCATGTAATGCGTTCGTTGTTCGTGAAAATTTTAACAGAAACGACCTTCACGCTAAAACTAATGCAAATTCGTACAGACTTACATTATAAAAATTACTATTTGATTGAGATGTAGGTCGTATGAGATCACTTACATCTTTTCGCGCAATAGAATGTAAACGTCAATGATTTTTCTCTCGTATTTTACCGCTGAAAAATTTGAAATTGGTACTCCAAATAAAAAAAAACATTTTTTAATTCTCAATCTAATAGAAAAATAATGTAGAGGGTGTTAAAAGAAGAAAAATTATTTTATATTTTAGAAAGTTTGGCGTAGAATTTTGAACATCCTGTATGATTTAAGATTACGATATTTAAAGTAACTACAGACCATCTAAAGTAAGTATCTAATATAGTTTTGATTTTTTGATTTCAGGACAATTCTTGTATTTTTAATATTTTTTTTATTTATTAATATCTCTGAAACTATTGAAATATATTTACTCATATCTTAGGTTTACGTAAAGTAATCTGAAAGGAAGCCAAAAATGCAATAATATATAGGGTGATTTAAAAAAATCACCCCGCTCCACTCACACTTTTTTGAATCACTGTAGAAGTTTTTTATTCTAGGATCTACAGATGCCCGACGCATTATTACCATGTATGTATACGTAAACGGAAACACAGCTGATTTTGTATGTAAGAGATCCTCAATAATTACCTATCTCGGTGCTGTTTATATTTACCTTTATTTACCATTGTATGTAATTATATAGCAGAACAAGGACATTTGACTCGGTGCGACGGGAGATCGTACCAAAGATCGTACTAACTAGCCTAGATGTGAAAAAAAATCAGTATTTGTTGTGTTAGATTCGCGAAATTATTGCACGGTGATATAAATAAAAAACAACTGTTTTTAAAACTCTGCTATTGTGTAAGATTGTGCTAAAAGTCAGTGCTAAAAAGATTTAATTGAATAGAAATAGGTGAAAATGAGGTTTTTCTGTTGTTATAGGATTTATAGGTAAGTTTCGTATGTAAATATATGATAAATCTATTTTTAAAACGACCCATTTATTAGCACCAAGTAATAATAATGTAAGTAATAAAAATAAACTTGTATAAGCATACGGCGGAGTACCGAGTCTGTGGTTGGTTCCTTGTGAAACATCGGCATCGTTGAGATAAAGTATTACTCTCATTAAATTTGATAGATATCTTAAAATAATATTATAAAAGAATTATAAGCTGCATTAATAAAAAAACTATTGAAAAATTTAAACTAATTGTTAATGACTGTGTGTCTCATTTTCGTGTATTTTATGTAGAGGGTTCTCATTTATGAGTATAGATACAAAAATGCAGTTTTCACATCACTATGCTACTTTCTTATGAAACTAAATATACTACACATATATTTGGACCTAGCCTTAGAAAACGTACAAAAGAAATATTTTTTTTTTGTTTTCCGAAATATCTAACAACGAATATCTTTGGAGCAAAAAGTGCCAGTCTCGAAAACGAAACGGTTCTGTAAAGTACACCTTTAGGAGTACAACATAATTACCAAATGAGCAAAATCAATTTTCCAAAATTTTTCGAAAAAATACCTCG